CTGGGGGATTGAACCACGGTCCCTGTGCTTTGCTAAGCTTGTTCTAAGTAGGTGCTTTAGACGACTGAGCCATCTCACCAGCCCTTTCACAGTTTTTTGACCTTAAAGAAGGAGATTGGGTAGAATGTGATGGGGAGGTAACACTTAAGCCAAGTAGACTATAGTGGGCTTTCAATCCTTACAATCACAGTTGATGATGGGATTTATTATCCCCACCTTACAGACTCTGTAGGGTTGAATACTTTGCTTGGATCATCTATCTAGGAAGCAGCTAGGTCACTCTTCCAGACTGGAGAGCTGGGTCGTGGTCTCTGCCTGATAGAGGAGGAAGTGAGGGCTAGGTGACTGTTGACCACACAGGGTACAAAGGGAGCAGTGAGCCCCAGGCTCTCCCTCTCGGCTCCCTGGACCTCTCTGCTGTCTGTCCCTTGCGCACATGAGGAGGAGGAGGAGGCAGTGAACAAGGTCAAGTGACCAGGAAACCCAAAGGGATCAGCTTCCTCTCTTACCCTCTAGCCGGGGTAGCTCCCACACGCTGAATAGCTGCGCTGAGGAGGTCTCACTGCCCTTAAAAGGCATTGTTTTGTCCTGGCTGGCTGGTGCCTGCCTTTTGCTTTTCCTGGGTTAGCAGAGCTGTCCACACAGCCTCAAGGCCTGCTCAGCAGCTGCTGATGGAAGCCAGCTGCCGAAACGCTGCGCTGTGTGTGGGGTCTCAATACTAAACAAACCTGGGCTCTGCCTCTTCCCGAGGAGAAACTGCATTCCTTGGGCCTACTCCCACTAAGTTCAGTGCACTGCACAGGCCCATGCGCTTTCCAGCATAATACTAAACAACACTGACTCAGATCATCTTCTGTGCCTGGCCCTGTGGATGAAATGACATGGGTGAAGTCATTTAACACTTGACAGCTGCCTAGGGAGGGAGATATGACCCCCCACTCTCCAATAAGGCCTCCAGTCCTAGAGCTTCAGAGGACAGGCTGGTGCCAGAGAACCCCTGGTTTTGTGGCCAGGGACCTGATGTTTAAGTATGGCATCCTCACATTTATTCTGCTCAGGAGACAAAGAGGAATCCCAGGGGAGGATGTCAGGGAGGCTGTTCCCCTAGTGTTTGGCAATGCCAGGACAAGTAGAGTCCTTGCTGACACTACTAATCTGAAGATAAAATGGGCATGTCTGGTTTTGTCTATGGGGAAGCAGCTGCCTTTGTGGTATAGATGGTACCACTAACCATTGTGACACTTTGTTGTAGTATAGGTGGTGCAGTATGGTGGGATTGGTCCCCAGCCTGCTCCCCCACAGCCCATCACCATGGGTCATGCCCTTCCAACAGCCCTAGGACAGCAGACTTCAGAAGTACCCGTCTACCACAGATTTGTCAAGGGGAGTGGGCTGGAGCATAGGGTGTTGTAGTCACCAGTGGGAGGCAGCTTAAACTCTTTTCTTCTTTCCCTAGTCTTGGCATAAATCCTGCTTCCGATGTGCCAAGTGTGGCAAAGGCCTCGAGTCAACCACACTGGCAGACAAGGATGGTGAGATTTACTGCAAAGG